AATTTTGCTACTACCTCGGAGCGAGGCTTGGTTATCGGATGTTGGGGTTCAAAAAGCGAACAGCAGTCTTGATAATGGCGGAGAGAAAGTTCATAAGTTCCTATTTTTTGGGCTTGGGTAATTATTTCTTTTTTATCCCAACTAATGAGGGGCTGTAATATAATTAGAGAACTGACTTGTTGAATAACGGCTAAACTGGCTAAGGTTTGACTAGCCACTTGGGCTAAGGAATCACCGGTGGCTAAGGCGTCAATTTTTAATTTTTGGGCTAACCAGCAAGCGGTGCGGATAAACATTCTTTTTAAAATAATTAAGCGGTATTTTTCTTGACTAATATGTCTAATTTCGGCCAAAAATGGTTGGGTATCAATTAAATAAATGTTATTAGAATAGCTATTATAAGCTTGTAATTTCTCTCCCAGAGCAGTTATTTTTTCCTGACCTTCTTGTTGGGAATAAAAATGGCAATAATTAACTTCTAAGCCTCTTTTCATTAATTGGTAAGCGGCCACGGGGGAGTCTATTCCCCCACTCAAAAGCAATAAGATTTGGCCGGAACTACCCACTGGCAAGCCCCCCAATCCTTTTAATTTCTCCCCAAAAAAAAGAATAAAATCCCGATAAATGCGAAGATAAAAAGTTTTTTGGGGCTTGCTTAAATCAACTTTTAAATTATATCTTTTTTTTATTATTTCCCCTAGTTCTTGTTGTAAAATTAACGAGTTTTTAGGAAAAGTTTTATCACTGCGGCTTATATCAAGTTTAAAAGTAGTAAAATTAATTTCGCAATAATCCGTAATATTTTCGGCTCAATTAACTAATTTTTCTTCGCTGCTTTCTAATTGGTAAGCCAAATAAAAAACACTAATACCAAAAATATTTTTTACCAGAGGTAATAAATTAACAAGTTCTTTTTCCTCCCGAACAGTAATTATTAATTGGTCGGAATATTTTTTAATGGTAAAATTGGAAAAATTGTTTTTTTGGCAAGTTAAAGTAATATTAGCAACTAGTTTTTGAATAAAATAGTACTTATTTTTTCCTTTCAAAAATAATTCTCCATAGCGAATAATTAGGCACTGTTTATTCATTTGTTTTAAACTATCTTTTTTTTAGATTTTCTCAAATTTGATAAACTTTTTTTTTTGGGAAATTGCCTTGGCGGGCTAATCTTAATACTTTTTCGGTGATTTGCCCTTCCTCTTGGATAATTATTTCGATTTCTTTCCGTAATTTAAGAAAGTTTTTCCCCCGCGCTTGGTCTTGTCTGCTCTTACGATGCTTAATATTTGCTGAATGAGAATGTCCGGCCATATTATTTGTTCCTAGTTAATTATTTTTAGCCGTAAGTAAAGCACGGATTTTCCCCGCGCTTTCAGCTAACTCTAATATTTTTTTTAATTCGGCTTGGTAATCTTCTTCCAGTTGACGAATAATTTTTTGGTTGGTTTCTAAGTCTTTGCTGAGCAATTCAATTTCTATATCACACTCTTCGCGGCGTCTTTTTTCTCTTTCTCGATATCTTTCTAGCCTGGATTTTTCTATCCTTACTTCAATAATTAAATCTTGGAGAAATTTGGCCTTTTCACTAAGAATTATATCGTTTTTATTCATAATTTATTATTTTTTTATAATAACTCCTAGGTGGGAAATCCAAAAAATAATCTAACGCTTAGAATATTGCTCTTTTTTACGGGCCTTTTTAAAACCAACTTTTTTTCTTTCTACGCGACGAGCATCGCGGGTCAACAAAGAAAAACTTTTAAGAGTAGTTCTATATTCGGCGGAAACTTTTAATAAAGCCCGGGCTACTCCCAATCTAATGGCTTCGGCTTGACTATGGAAACCTCCGCCTTTGACTCGCACTATTAAATCATAATCTTTTACTTTATTAAATAAAGTAAGGGGTTGATAAATGTCTTCGCATAAGGAAGGCTCCATGAAAAAATAATCTGGGAAACCTTTTTCTTTTCCGTCTTTGGTGCGGATTTGGGCTTGACCACTGCCTGCCTTCATAAAAACCCGAGCGGTGGCTTCTTTACGGCGTCCTACGCCAATATAGTAGTTGTCATTCATACCTTTCTTTTTTTTTGGAACTTATAACATATCATTTTTTTTAATATATTCTTGGGTATCTTTTTTGACTTTTTCACTCCTGCCTTCCAATATATCATTACCGTCTTCAATTGATTTTCAATAAATCTGTCTTTTACTATCCCAATTCGAATAATGCTCTGTTTTGCCAATATACTCTTCCAATGTTTCCAGTTCAAAGGCTATTTCTAATTCTCGATTTTGGTTCATATTGTCTTATTTATTTTTACTAAAACCTCCTGTTAACGCTTTAATATTATTAATCAGAGCACTAAACTTAGAACTAGTATCCAGAGAAGAACATAACCAACGGCTTTGCCTTTACTGATATAAGTGATAGTAGCCTTATTTTCAATAGCGTTGCGGATTTCAATATTATCTCCAGGCGCCATAACTATTATTCCCAGTATTAAGCCTAACTAAACTCAGGATTATGCCTCAGTGTCATTTTTCTCAGGTTTTCATAATATTATATTTTTGGGGATAATATACAATTTTACGCCAACATTGAAATTTTATGAAAAGAAAAGCAAAAAAAACTGAAAAGAAAGAAACTAAGCAAAATTTAGAAGGTAAAAATGGTCTTCTAGAGCCAAAAAAAGTTCTCTGTTCAAATTGTAAAAAAACTGAGTTTTTATCCGCTTTGTGATTCCAAGGCAAGCATTCTCACAAAAAAATAATCTAGGACATTGAATTGAGAA